GCCGCCGCCGCGCCCGTCGCCCGGGAGCGGGCCAGCCGCCGGCCCGCCCTTCTCGGCCCTGATCCCGGGTTGCCTTCGGAAGGTGGAACAAAATGGCGAAACCTAACATGGCCGTTCGGAGTTGGTGACTCCAAAATAAACAGCGTGTGTCCTTCCCTCCCTGCAGACCGGGTGTGCCAGCAGCCGGGGCTCTCCCTCTGGGTCCCTTTCCAGAACGCCGCCACTGCGGTCACCAACCTCTACAAAGGTAAGGGGCTGCCCCCCCCCCGCTGCCCCAGCAGCCCTCCCTGCCAGCCGGGCCCCTGCTCTGCTCCTGCCCCGGCTTACTCATAAGCAGGGCCTGTTAATGTCTCTTATTCACCCTGATAAAATCTAACCCGAGACTGCTTCCTGAATCTTGCAAGTTTTCCCTGGGCCACTTTAGCTGACGGTAGCTGAATCTTTTTGGTTGCCTCATGTTGGTGACTAATAACTTAAAAGCTGTTTTATTTTTGAGACCCTTGAAAAAGGGTGTTCTTAATGTGTGGCTTGCTCTCGTGAAGTCAAGGGAAGAGTGCAATAACTTATTAAACAGTACTTAAATTTCTTGCATTTTGTATATTTTGTAGTATGTTAAATGTTGGGATATCAGTATAATAATGTACTTTTGCAGTGGAGCATAGGTTGGGTTTAGTGTCTGTAAAATTCTGCATAGATGCTAGGTGACAAAAAGTTTTAAACTGGCATCCCAGTTTATTTTAGAATAATAAAATGTAAACCGGGAGTAAGTCTCCCAGCTTATTTTAAGAGCTAGAATGTCACTGTGTGTCCAGGGTGGCTGTAAGAAAGCAGCGATAGCCAAAGCCTTGGTAAGAGTGCACTCTGCACATAGTTGTGCTGGTTTACTGTGTGTTTTTGTCTGTCAGGATCTGTTTCTGAGCTCTTACTGTTGTTTGGGTTGTCACAAGAATTACTGTCTGCAGAAGAATTATTCAGTGGTTTCTAATTTGTGTGCAGGATTGTACAAAAATGATATCTCTATTAATGGAGGCTTAAATTGGCACAGTGTGATTGCCATTGTTACTGTGTCTTCCATTCCTAGGCATGGAAAAAAACTTTTGAAGTTCCAAATTGTTGTTTTTCTGACTTCTAGTTAGATTTTTTTTTTCTTGAGTTGTGGGATGATGTTTTTTTTCTTGGTCTGTGCAGCATTATCTATAGCTCTACCTGCATGTTCTTTCATTTGTTGCCAGTTTTTCCATTTTGGATTTGCAGTTGAACTTAGTAATATGTTTGTGAAGGCTGATCAGGTTTCTGACAGATGAGGATAGAGTAAGGAGGAAATGTAGGTGCATAATCCTTGCTGCCAGAGACTTGACTTTTGCAGAAAGTGCATTTAGATGTTGTGTGTGTTGTGAGTCATATAGAGGGGCAGCACATCGGTAGGTGTTGGCCTGAGGGCCACTCAAATGTGGTCTGGGACACAAGTCACCTGAGCATGGTCTTAGAGTAGCAGTAGGTGGTGTTAATAAGTTATCTGGAATAATTAGTCATTTTTTTTACAAATGGCGTTGCTCTCCCTTACAGCATCTTTACTATGAAGACTTAGGCTGTTTATTTTTTGTTACCTCATTTGATTGCTTTCACTATAGGCAAAATGAGCCCTATTTTTCTGCAGTGATGTGATTAACAGAAGAGTTATAGAAACTAGAATTTAAATAGGAAGCTGTCTTTAGTCAGGTGTAGTGTAATACTTCAAAAAGCATTTGAAACAAATCTTTCCTTAAAACAGATATTTAAGAAGTGCTGAAGTACCTTAGTTATTCAGAACTACCATCTTTTGATTTTTTTAAATGAACCACCTGGGCACTGGCATACCAAATTGGAGTCTCTTAATGTGAATTTTCCTGCCCTAGTGATGAACATGGCTCTCTAAAAACCTCCTGTTGTTTCTCATATAGTCAGTAATGTTTGTGTTTTGGAGGCCTCTGTCAAAGCACCGGAGAAGTTCTTGGTGTGGTAAACTGACCACTACAAACTGCCTTCTGCCCCGTCAGCTGGTTTCTGATGTTTGCAATTTTGAGGCATCAAAATTCCTTTAACAAGAGCTACATGAGGAACAGTGCATAAGGAGAATTCCATGATGTCTTGAATGTCAGCATTTTTTCTGAAAATAGATTAGAGGTTTAATATCATACCACACTGTGAAGGTCTTGGATCACGAGTTTCTGATTGGTGCTAGTGATAGAGGCCTTGTTCAAAGACATTTGATTATCTTCCAGATTGCACTAAAGAAGTGGAGCCATGGCTTGTAACGTAGGATTTAGAACTTAAGGCCACTGTAGAAAGCTCTAGGTGTATATTAAAATAAGACTTCTGAGCCTTAACTGTAAACAAAGTAGTTGTAACTTTTACCATAAAAATCTAATCTTTCCCAGGGTAATGACACTGGAAATGTGTCCAGGCTACATCAGTGGTCGGTGTGTTTGACCTCATCACAAGTTCGTAGGTGGTCCTTTGTAAAAGCGTTCTCGTACACAAGGAAAGCAGTGTATTGACCTAAAGCTGGGCTCCTCACCTCTCAGAAGGACTTTCTCATGGTATTTCAGGAAGTGATTAAAGGAATACTGTCAGTTTCCAGATTAGCCCCAGAGTGTTTGGGGAGCTCTTACTGGTGAGTGTGGTGGAGCCTGAGCGGCTGTGCAGGATAAAATGGCTGGAGGAGTAATCTGTCATGTTGCCATTGCTTTCACAGGAATTAGCATTTGTAAATCTTCTAGCCTTTGGATTACAAAGCAGCATAAGCAAAGTACTCCTAAAGTGTGCAAAAGTAACCAACATGTTAATTGCACGCTATGTATACCTGTATAGCTTATATTCTAAAAGCCCCAAGATTTAGCTGTGAGCAATTTGAGATGTTTTCTTTTTTGGTAGATTGTGTTATGTTTCAAGTGCTGCTCTTTGACAGCATAGATTTTAGTGCTGTCTTTTGGACCATACAGTGGTGCCTTAAAATATAAGTCTAAGAATAGCATTTAATAGTGATTATTTTGGGATTTTTTGAGTGTGAGAAAACTAGATTAGATGTGTATGTCACTGTTTACCTGTAAACCAATATCTTGGACAGCTGTTCTTAAATAAATCTCTTAATATTATTCTGGGCAAATGGCTCTGATGTTGGACTTCATTAGTAAAACAAGAATATAAAAAGCTGTTTTAATCAGCTCTGCCAGATTAAAAAAAAAATCTATGGAAATCAAATAAATGAAATTGGAGTGGATATGTTGATGCTTTTTAATGGAGCAAGAGCTAACATAGCACTAATTTTCATAAAACTGAAATAGCTATTGGCAAAGCTCTGATAACAAATCTATGACAAACAAGATGAGCATAATTGTGTAGAGAGTATGGTATGTCCCACCTGTTACTGTTGTGTAAAATTTACTCAAACTAGTATCCAGAAATATACTTACTGAGATTTGAAAGCAATGTAGTACAGGGCATTGAAGAGTTTCTTAGAGGCATTGGTAAAATTGATGTGCACAGGTGACCAATTACATCAGTGGAGAATGAAATTATATTTTATAGTAGGATTAATTGGAAACAATACATGTTTAAGCTTTTGTATATCAAATTTGCAGTGGGATCTTAAATGGGGAAGGAAATTTTTTTTTTTTAGACTTCCTTTGTAAATGGTATGTTGCTTAATTGTAAGGCACTGGGGACAATTGTTGTCTAACGAGTTTCAAAACTATGGCCTCCTGCAATTGAAATTGAGATGAAACTAGAGGGACTAAAGAAATGTGACTTTCCTGAAAATTTCTTACCTATCAGAATCAACAACAGCAGTTACCCATTTGTTTTCATGGGATTTCTTGACTGTACTAGTGCACTTTAAGAGACAAACTCTTGAAGTGTGTTGTCTGTTGATTTAAGTACCTTCCTGAGATGGATAAGCTCAAAGTGTGTTTTTAATGTTAATACAATACGGTTTTGTAAACAGTGCTGTGGTGTTGACCTGAAGTATAATAAGTACTATTTAGGTGGTGCTTGAGTTGCTGTTGACTTTCTGACTTGTAAAGGGGGTGGAACTTTTTAGCTAATATTTATTTTCTTTAGGTTTAATAGGACTCATCCTCAATGTGAGTGTGACAGTAACCTGTAGCAGATACTCTTCTTCCCCATGGTTGACAGGAAGCCGTATCGGTGGTGTGCCATACTATACATTGCTCTCTGTAACATTTACTAAGAACTTTTTTTCTGTCTTCTTGCAGAAAGTGTGGATGCCCATCAGCGAAGCTTTGATGTAGGAATTCAAATTGGCTATCAGCGTCGGAATAAGGATGTGTTAGCCTGGGTTAAAAAACGCAGAAGAACTATTCGTAGAGAAGACTTAATCAGCTTCCTATGTGGAAAAGTTCCTCCACCAAGGAATTCTAGAGCTCCCCCAAGACTGACTGTAGTATCCCCTAACCGAGCTACTTCAACAGAAACTAGCTCATCTGTAGAGACTGATTTGCAACCCTTCCGTGAAGCCATAGCTCTGCATGGTAACAGTAATTTTTTCAATACTACTTGGTTAAAATTGGGTGGGGGTTCTTAAAGCATGTCTGGCCCTTGGCCATTGTTGGTGTTGTCATATGTCATGTACCTGATGTTCCAGCTGAAGGCATCTCCTTCATTCTCTAAGGGAGCTGTTGCATGTATAAGGCACGTAGCTACTAAAAAGTTGCATAGTCAAATATTTTGAATGAGAAAAAACTACTGTATAAAAATGAGGTTTGGAGCTGTAATATTCTGTAGCTGTGAACTCGACAGTTAAGTGTCGTCTTCTGGTGGAGTTTTTGAAGCATGAAGAGACTTGGCATTCATACCAATGTTAAACAGAATTCTTGGAAAACGATAGTACTATGCTAGCAAGTAGTTAAATATTAAGATTTGACTAGTAGCAAATAACTAGGAAATCTTTGCAGGGCTAGGGAGGGAATTTGATGTGTGAAGCTTCTGTCTCTAAGGGGTACCTTACTCGAGTACCCTTGTTGTTATGCAGTGGATAATGTGGTTTAGCGTTCTTTTTGAAGTACCCTGGAAGTGTGCTTCACTTGCACATCATTGCAGTAATTGAGTCCTCTTCAGAATTTAGTTCTAGCTCACTTTCAGTCTTAAATGTCTTCCAGTGTCATACTGAATTTCCTTCCTTGTTATCACCAACAGTGTTGGTTGTGTATCTTTTCTTCTCCTTTTCAGATATGAATATTCAGTAGTTTATTCTGCACTGGACTGTTACATAGCAAGTGATAAAGGAAAATGTGTTAAATTGCTTCTGAGGTGAAATGAGGCAGTTCAACTCTGGGGGTTAATGCCTTCTAAAATTCCAAAGGGTAGCAGATATCTTGAGGTGTAATAGTAGACCATTCTAACAGTAAAAAAAAAAATCAAGCTATCTAGAAACACAACTTGTGAAACTTAAATGACATTTTTACTGTCTCAGTATTCTCAGTGGGGGGTGCAATTAATGGGTTAGATGAGTGGATTCCTGAAAATGCTGTCTTTGCTGCTGCTATGCTGTGGTGGCTTTTCAAGATACGCAAGCCAGACACTGTTACTGTCTAGGTGACAGCCTAATTCTGGTATTGTTTGCTGCTCCATTGCCATTTAAATCAAGCATGCTTCTACCCAGTCATGTAGTTTTTGGCAGCTTTCCTTCTCATATTGGAAGCTGGCTAGAGAATTCTGTGCACCAGTGTTTGCTTATTCAGTAGGTAAAGCTGATTTCATGAGGAGAAACTCTGCAGAAGCTGACTTTCACCTGATAATGGTGTGATAAACACCTTCTTATAAAAAAATCATCTTGTTTTCTGAAACTGGTTGAATCCAGTGTGCTGTTGGCTTTATAGTTAAAGGCTTAGTGTCAGGTGAGAGTAAGCTGGGTAGACTCACTTTAGTACAGTGAACTCTCAAGCAGAGTAAACTCAGGCATTTTTATTGGTAACGTGGCTCTCTGTGTCCTTGTATTGCTTCTTAGCATCTGCTTTGTATAGGTTTATGGAAATCACTTCTTTATAATGTGGGAATCTGAACCATGAAGTATAAAGCTTTTTCATAATTGATTACCTAATACAGGGTCATGAGGACTGTAGGAAGTTCCCTGCTCTGTACTGGCACTGCAGGGGCTAAAATGCACTCTCCCCTTCATCAGCTGGTTGACAAGATTACATGTCAGTCACCTTCGGGATTAGGTTCTCCTGATATCAGTTTCAATCTGGTCTTTGACATAAATGCTTTTGTGCTGATCCTTTAGTGACTAGGCTTGTATTTGGCCTCATAACTGTTTTCAGGTTATGTATGTGTTCCTCCAACTTCTCCCTTCCTTTCTTTAACATTAAGGAAGTTGTAATTGAAAAGTGTCCCAAACTATTTCCTATTTATCATAGGGCTTCTCAGAACAATGTTTTGATTTTTCAAACCTGTGTAGGATCTTCAGATATTTGTAAATTAATGCCCTGTGTAGTGTCATGTTTATGTTAATTTTTGGCAGGCTGTTTAAAAGTGATTTTCTGCTTCTGGATTTGTGAGGAAACGTAAAACCTGATGATAGTGAGTAGCAGTCTCAGCAAGTGTTCAGGACTAAGGCTTCAAGGGGAGTTTCTGCATGCAAAGGAGTGAGGCTTTGTTTTCTGCTGATAGGCTTCCTATCAGTGCAAGTGACAGGAAAGTGGAAATGGAGTATTTATTGGTGATGTGGATGGGCTGGATTAGATTTGGTGGGTAATGCTAAAACTTGCTGCTGTAAGCAAGATCTCTTTTAGTGAGGCAGGGATAGGTATGATTGTCATATTATGACACTAATGTGTGTATCTGAAGTTGAGCTGGTTTATTGACTTCTCAAATAAGTACAATATCTGTCTAAAGACCATGGTCCTATACCTTGTTGATCTTGCTCTTTGATGGGGGAAACACTTGTATTTTGAAGCGCTTAGAGGGTATGCTATCAAAATCAGACCTAAAAACTTTGGCAGAAGTTGTGGTAACAAGGTAGCTAATAATTAAATATTTCCTGGAATATCAAACTAGGTGTATTCCCTAGACTAAATAAAACATTAGAGAAGAAACTTGAACTGTGAATGCCTGGAAAGAAATGAAAGCTTTCAAGAAAAGCTGAGTAGTTAGCTCTAGGTAATATATTTTACTCTGAGGTTTAAGTAGTTTTTTTCTGAAACTTTAAGCAACTGTGCATCTGATGAAGCCTAACATCTTAAGATGTGATGGTAGAAGCTAAGTACCTTTGTCGTTCAACATCTCAAATAGAGCTGGGTTTTTAATTTCCACAAGACCCTAAAATGTCATTGCAGTTAGCATAGGTATGGATATACCTTCACCTACTTTCTGGGTGTGTATTGTCATATCCAATTCTGTAAGTTTCAAATGACAGAATTAAATCAAACTGAGCTAATAGTCATAAGATTCCCAAAAGTTGACATGTGCCAGGTCATTTTCTGCTTGGCTGTAGCTACCATACTAAGTTTCACAGTGCTGGTGGCTGTGCACAGTCCATGTTTGAAATGATGCTTTGGTCTTTTAATGTGGTATGTGCTCTGTGCTTTACTCATTCTCCCAGCATAATAGGAGAAAATGCTATGATTTGAGGAGGGTGAAGAAGCAAGCATGAGAAAGCAGTGCTGAAATGCACTAGACTTGAGCATTCTTCACTAAAAATGATGTCAATAGGCAGCAGTGCAGTGAGGGACTGTTAGTTCTTTTGCTTCTTAACTTTAAGGTTGATGTATATTGCTAATGTGATTCAGTCTCTCTTTGGGGTAGAGCCCTGTCTCTAGCATGGAGAAGTGTGGGGCTTGGCTCCTTTAAAGAGCCTGACTTTCCATTAGGCCTTCTTACTATCTCCAAATATTAAACTGCACATTAAACATAAGCACTTCTTCATGGAGTAGAGAAGAAGCAGTTGGTAGAGGAGATGGGAGAGTGGAGTTCAGGTTAGTTTGAAAGAGTTTAAGTTAAAGGTTGTGTGTATATATAGCTGTCACAAAGTTGTGTATTGGTATGTCCTGCTAAAACTTGCTTGTTGAGCAGTACTGTGAAAGGGTGAGTATGACATAGAGGAGTGACAAGGATCTATCTGCATGCCATTTTGCATTTATCTGGGGTTATTAACTAATTCCTCCTTTAGTCACACTTAATCTAAGCGTGAATATTCTTTTTGATACTTCCTGATTAAAACTTCTGAAAACCAATATTTAATACTGTTACCAGATAGCATAATATACTATAGTGAACAGTAGTTGTGGTAGTGATCTGAATAACTCATAGTCACTATGGGACATAGTTATAATGTAGATAAAACAGTATTTTCAGTTGTTAGGGCAGAGTTGATAAACTTGCTAACTTTGCATTGACAGTCTTATTTATCTTAAGTATTTCATACTCCATAAAACATATTTTTAGCCAAGCATTCTAATCACTTGATTGTTTTGGAGAGTACTTAGTAATAAGTTAGCTAGTATTGGTCTCAGTTTCTTCTATACTGCAGCTTTTTCTAATAGTACTATAATTAATACTTTAGAATATAGATTCAGATAAAAGCAGTTTTTTTCTGAAACTGCTGGCTGTGAAACACCCATGTTGTTGATGACTTGGCTGAAAGATATGGCAGGAGTGAGAATGTAGTTGGTACTGAAGATATTTCAAATATGCTTTCCACTTCAGTCCTTTCAAGTTTAAAAAGGAAAGACCCATGTACCTTTCTTAAAGGCTTCTCAAAAAAGGAAATGTCTCCTATAAAAAGCAGTTGGGAGTCTACAGGGGCAGTCACGAGATCACAAAAGTAAAGACACTTTAGTAGCTGTTTGAATCTCTATCCTGTTGTATAGACAAAACTGAAGTGCCTGTGATTAGATCATGTTAATCACAATGTAGAAATTTGAAGTTGTGAAATGGGATTGCTAACTAATGTTGTCTTACTACCTCCTAGTATCTATCACTGCTTGCTTTACTGTTCTGAATGGTTAATTGCTTTGGGAAAAGGTCTGAGTCCACTGAAAACTCAGAATAATTCACAATAAATGGGTTTTCTGAGATTTCCAAGAAAAGTGAACTGTGGATTGCAGCTCCTGAGAGATGCTTTCTGTCAGCAAAAATAATAGATCTTTTAAATTGCATTGCTGGTTGTCTTCAAAGACATTGATGCCATGAAATAGCAACTTGATAATTCAGTGCATGCCTTGAATTTTCTTTCTGATTCTTCCATGTTGGCTTGATTACCCAGTCCTAAGCTGTGATCTAAATGTTTCATTTGACAGTTCTGCTCTGTTGGATTGATGTGTAGTGCTATGTAATGTGGTTAACTGCCAGTAACTGATGGCAAGTTGTCACTCAGTCTGTTAGCATACCCAGTAATGACTGTTACTCACTAGTTCAGTATTAAATACCTATATGAGATGCAAAACTAAATTGCAACTAGAAGTCCATGTGATGCAAAATCCTTGTACTCCTGTCTTTATAGAAATTTAAAATTACTCTCCTCCCTTTGACATCAGGTTTGAATGAAGATTTTAACTCATCTCTTGAAGGTTGTTTGTGTATTTTGATGTACAGTGATTCAGTACTACCTAAATATTGGAAAGTCAATGCCTACTTGAGGCACTGCTTGCAAACCCTGGCAGTCTGTTTTAGAATATGCTGGAGCATATTACAGATGCATCTTTTCTGACTTTTATATCTGCTGTTTTAAAAAATGTTTGTTACTTAAAAAGGCTCTACGTAAAAATATACTTGTTGTGTGTTGCCAAAAATGGTATCCTCAATCACGGGTCAGTTTTGAGATTTATTAACAGAATAATTTTACTCTCCTTGCTTGAGCATTAGATAATAATGAAAAGGTGTCATGATGAAACTGAATTAGTATATTGGTCATTTGGTTACAAGTTGTATAATTTATTAGTAAATGATGGAAGTGGTATAAATTGACTCAGTGGAAGTTAACAACACTGAACTTGGGTGTTCAGAGCAATTTTGCTTGGAATAGTTATGTGGGGGGGAAATCTTTGCAATCAGTTTGGATTTGAAGCAATATTGCCTTCTGTGCACTGTCAGTCTTTTCCAATTTAAATGTACAGGATGAATTAATGTTTTTTTCTAATGTAATGCCAGTTGAAATTAAACTTGCTGCTATCTTTGAATTGTGAAGTGATTTGTTACCTGCCCAAATTTTGCATGTTGGTGGTTTAGCCAAGTTATGGTATCTGAGTTGGCTTTTTGCTTGTTAATCTGTCACCCAATTAGCTTCTTTACTTTCTTTGGTAGATATATAGGAACCTCTTCATAATGGTTTTGAATTTAAACTTGACCTTAATCCTGGGAATACTGGAACAAACCTTGTTTCTGAATTACCTTTTCACTAAAACAGCTTCTACTGTTTAAATACTTTCTGCCATTGTGAATAAAAGATGATTTTAATGCTAATAAAACGCGCAGGGTCCCTGTCAGACTTCAAACTATGCTTCTGAGTCATGTTGGAACACCACTTGAAGCTGTAAGCAGAAGCTCTAAGAAAGCATCAATGATCAGTGGCTGTTCCTGTGTAGTGCCCAATCTGGGTAAAAAGTATATCCTGTGCTGCTACAGCATTGAAGCTTTAAATGTTCATTCAGCAGTAATGTGCAGTAGAGTGGAACTGGTTGGCCTGTTCTTTCCTGACTTGTGTATCAACCTGCCACTGCTACAGATGGTTTTAGAATTTATCTTCTAACTGTGGTTTCTGGAGACTGATGTAGTAGCTCTAGCAGTCTTCACAGCCTCTGAAGTTGGTTATTTGGCCTATTAGCAGCTAATAAATAGGGTTTTGTTAGGTTTTATTTATCAGTGTGTGACTTCTGGCTGCATATGTGACCATATATGAAGATGTGTATTAAATGGCTTTGCACACACACAAGATGTGATGGTTGGACAAAGGGATAGAGTATGAGACTGGAGGAAACCTCAGAGCTCAAGACTTTGAATGCTACTGGGACAGAAATCTTCCTGGGCAGCTTAACATCTGCTTGTTCTTATTGCTAGATATAGATCTTGTTCTTCTCTTCATCTTCCTGTATGACTCTTGCTTTGGTACTTTATTTCTAGGACCAACAGATGTTTTTGTGCTTTCCTAGCAATTCTCAGATTTGAAGCAGTTGTTGGAGCAAAGATGTTTGTCTTATCTCTGAGCCCCTGTTTATCTACAAATATAGCCTGAATTCCAAACTTGAGAATTGTTAGGCTTTCATGTACTAGCCCTTACTAAGCTTATGGTTTGGCATGTCCTGCTTCTGCAAAGTTACTGTAATAGTAACATTACTGAAGACAAAGTTTAAATTAGTTAGGAAGTTCATTATTTTCTTGTTTATGGCCTTGTTTCTTCAACAAATGAACCTCTGCTTTCATTAAACATATTATTAGTAACCCGAGTACAAAGCAAAGTAATTCCAGGGTACCTGTGATAGTGTTTTGGGTCAGATCTGTCAATAGCAATTTTTGGGGGATTTTCACATCTCTTTGCTTGGCTTATTTGGTATTTATTGCTCTTCTGAATTCTGATAATACTAATATATTGGCCAATAGCCGCAGCCATGAAATAAAACTCTGATTTAAAAACCAGCTGTGGTATACACCTGTCAGATCTGCTGGTGTACTGTGGTGTTCTGTAGAATGACAGTAACTGAGGGAGTGAAGGGGGAGCGGGGTGGTGGTGTTTGAAACAAGACCAAGGCAGGTCAACCTGGAAATCCCTTGGTAGGGTGTTTTCCTTCTATGTAACTATTGGTCTAGTGTCAACCCTCTGTACAGAAATAGTCTGCTCTTGAGTATGTGTACATTTTGCATAGCATGTCATGCTTCTGGGACAACCTGATGTGTAAACTCACTTTGAATGTCATAAAAAGCAGTTCTAGAGACTGTTAGATTCTTATATATAAATAATTTGTGAAGATGTGGTCTGGACTTCAACTAAGTGTGGTGCAAATAATAGGATGAAGTGCCTTTTACTTCTCCCTAGAAGTCAGTTAAGCGTCATCCCCTCTGCCACACATGGGAAGTTAACTTTCTTTACTGTTTGACCTAAATGCTCTTTCTTTTTTTCCCCTAGGTCTTAGTGGTGCAATGGCTAGTATAAGTGTTCGCTCAAGTACCCCAGGCTCGCCCACTCACGTGAGCAGTGGCTCCAATGCTAGTCGAAGGAGAAATGGACTTCATGATGTTGATTTGAACACTTTCATATCAGAAGAAATGGCACTCCACTTGGACAATGGTGGAACTAGAAAGCGTACCTCAGCCCAGTGTGGCGATGTCATTACAGACTCACCAACTCATAAACGCAACAGAATGATCTAAACTGCAAAAATTTCAAACCCACCATGCTGCTTGAAAGCCACTTGATCCTCAGAGTACTATTGAAAAGGAAACATGAGGCCATCTTTCCATATTCACTGTTTAAGACAAATGAATTCAATAATTGCCATAAAGGAAATTTTAGATATTACATTAGATGCCTCTTGTAACTGCGGCTTTCTTAAACTATATTCTTAGCAGAGGACATCAGATATTGTGTAGTAGTTAGCAAGATCATCATAGGCAAACATGTATCCGTTCCAAGGCTAAAAGTGACCTTACTTGTATTCTTAAAGGGAAAGGAAATTTCAGATGTTTATTTGGTTATAGAATGCTTTTTTTTTGTCCTTTATTTCCTGCTGTGTTGAGTATTTGCTTAAACAGTATTGCCAGTTTGACTGAAATTGTCTACAACATGACTTGGCATCTTTGTCAAAACTGCAGGCTTCCATTTTTGCAGCACTGTACCATGCACCTAGTTTCTATATAGTAACAGTGTGCAAGTTATAAATATTGGACTGTACCCTTTTTAGTTTTAAAAAGCAGTTGATAATTCTGGTGATTGTGTGATAATGTAAAGAGGTGCTATGATGGTCATGCAATTAATACTTAATATTGAATCAATACAAGGATCTTTATTGGATTCACTTTGTGTGTTTTAGTGCTCTGAAGTAGCAATATTAAACTTTTCCCCGATTAACTTCATAGGCTTTTAAATCAGTTTGAGAAAATATATGTACTTATTGGTATTATCCTCGTGGTAATCATACACAGTGCAGACTGCACCAGTGCTGACCTAAATTTAGAGAAAGATGTCCTGTAATTGGAAAATAGGCTTTTCTGTTCAGTATTAGTGAAGGGTAGGTTTTGTGTACACCCATATCCCATTTTGCATTTCTTGTGAAGTAATTGCCCATTGCTGGGGAGGGGTGGGAGGAGAGGGAATGAGGGGGAATAGTTGGAAAAGGGGTGTGTTCTAACAAGTAAGACTTCTGGTCACATGTGGAAGCTTGGACTAACTTAAACAAGATTCTGTGTGATGCTCCCTCCTTCGGAGGGGGTGACATGCGGGTTCTATGAAGTGCTAAGAAAATAATTTAAAACTGGAAGTTGATGATAAAGCTCTGGATAAACATGCCGTAAGGATGAATGAAAAAGGATAAATGGCTTTCTTTTTGTGTTGAGCTTATATTCATAGGATTGAACTCTGGCTGCCATAACTTAAAAATAATCTAAACCTAAAGTAGAGATCAAGACTGATCTGCTGCAAATCCGTTTCTGAATGGGGAAGGATAAGTGTCAGTCTCAAAAGAGTGTCCTAACTATTTTTACATGTAGATGCAGCAAGTCTGGTGGAGAGCGCTGGCTTTAAGGGCCTCTAACTCTCTGCCAGGGAAAGGGGTAGTACAGGAGGAATAAGAAAATGAAGAGCTCCAAACCTGCAAGTTGGTAGGAGGTATTTAGTGAGGTGGTACGTATGCATGCTTTAACTGGAAGCATAGGCTGATCCTTGGATGAAATGCAGCTATGCTAGATTCACAATACTAAAAGAATTGTGATGGTCTAGCTAAGTTAAGGCACCTTGAGCTCCATGTTAATACACAGCTCTTCAAGACTTTTGCTTACGTGCTTGTAGAGTCAGATCTTTTTTGTATTATCTTCCCTGTTTGAAACAGACTTCGCTGTAGTTACCCTGGTGTCCTCTCATTGGTGTTCTGTAGTCAAGGAAAGACAGCAGTGATGTGTCAAATTCTCAGAATTCAAGGTGCTCTACTAAGAGCATAATTTCCTTGCTTTGTGGTGCTTCCATCAGATTTCTTTACATCTAAGAGCTCTTGAAGATGTCAACAGTTGCACAGTACTGTAGCTAGAGGTTCTGTAGTTCATGGGACAATTGTAAGAACTGTCCAAAGCAAGATGGTAAGAACTGTTCAAAACCCCCACCTGTGTTACATAGCTGAACTTGCACATCACCTGAAGACTCAGTATACGTTAATTTCAGTTACTGCTATTAACTACGATTCATAAGACTTATTTTATGTAAAATATTAATACTGCATAAAGCTAGTTTTCATTTGGAGACTGCATTTTCAACAAAGATTTTGAAGATGGTATCTAAATATATGTTAGTATTTATTAGGCTGTTGGGAATGAGATTTTTCTGTTCCAGAAGAAAAATCTGGAGTCCTGAACAGAAAGGACGTGTGTGAGAACCATTCTTCAGCTCTTCTGTTTATTCATTAACTGGCTTGTACAACTAAGATGCTTATGCTCTGCGACTTCTAACACACTTTACTATTACATGTGGTAATGGTAATAACATACTGGGATCGGTTCTGCATATATGGACTGAACTGTAACAGTGCTTCTGGTCTAGCCCAAATATACAGAGCCTGTTCAAATTTCTTCCTTTCCTTGCAGTGAAATAAATCCTGTTAATGCTTTAAAGCATTAATTCAGTCTACTACCATCTAAAACTAAATTTGTCTGGCTTTTTATTTAATTTGTGCCATTTTTCTTTGAAAGAAAGCAGGCTTAGGTATTAAACTGGTTGCATTAATGTTTTTTTGCTTGTACTTTAAATATTTGGCAACTTTTTGATTGTTTTTCGTTTAGCCCCGACTGTTTGCTCTTTGTTAACCTCTGCCAGAATGATCAAAAATGCATGTATTCACCTGGTAAACACAAGGAGAACAGGTTGTCTCTTAAGAAAAAAAAATAAAAAAAGTTCAGTACCTGTTGCTTTGAAGACTATTTCTTGTGCCAGTGTAGAAAATTGATGTTCTGGAAATAGCTTTCAGCTATTATCCGAACTGTAGCTCCTGGAGCCAGAAGTGAGTTGATTTTTTTTTTTTCCTCTAAGAAACACTGAATTGAGAACTGTTTAGTTTGGTAAAAATGGTGCTTACTTTTGCTTTCTCCTATGAATCGTATAGTTGACCGGTCTCTTCTCCATGTACATCAAATCTAACATGAATGTGCGGCAAGTTACATAAAGTACATCCTGCACTGAAGCTACTGAGCTTGGCTTGCTTATTAATGAAGTAAGTTTTAAATGTTAAATTTAAATCTATATTACAATAAAGTAATGCAAAAATGATTTTGGCTGAAACTGAAGTCCTGCAGTTAAACTTACTCAAATGTGGTTTACCCAGCTGGAGTAATAGAAACTCTTAAGTCATAATAAACCTAATAAAAAAATAAATAAATACAACTAATCAGGCTGCTTTGTAGTTCTTTAAGTTTCTGAATAGCACAGTCCATCAGTAAACCCAAGTGAAGATGTGGTTAGTGCCAGTGACAGGCTTATGTGCTTCTGCAGAGCAGCATTTTTCTTTGGGAATGCAGTTTGATGGCAGCTGTTCAGTCTGGCCACACTTAAGAGGCTTTCCTTCTGCCTTTTATGGACTAATGAAGATATTAAGAATAGGGGTGCAGTGTTAATCTGTGCAAGATGTTCTGCAGAGTTTAACATCACTAATACTTAGGAAAGGCATCTTAAATTATGCCACTTAAAACCGCTTTAGAAAGTTAAGTGGTATTGGCTTGAATAGTAGTGCTTTCTAGTCTCTTGCAAAAGAGTCTTTGGATTTAAGTGAAATTAGGTCCTTTATTTGGCAGCTTTTCCTGTTTAATGTGGGTGTCCCTAAACCTGCAAACAATTTTCCACTTGGTATATCAGCAGGTCTTTGAATTTCATAATGAAGGAAGGCTTTATTTCACAGGAGCTTTTAAGTTAAAAATGTATTTTTAATTTATGTTAACATTTTTTTTCACTTCTAGCCAGTGAAATGTTGCAGTGGGCATTTGGGAAGTATTAGTAGTAGTATTTTGGTAGAAATAAGGAGTGTGCTCCTGACTTGTCCCACTGTGGCTGGTGGGGTAGCCACAAGGCCTGTGGCTTGCTCTGGAGCAATGAAGAAGGCCCAAGTACTGGCCAGGAGCTTTCCTTGGCTGTGTGTAACCCTTGAGGCTGGTAAGCTCAGAGCTGCTGAGATGCTCTGCAGTCAGTCACCACTGGTGCTGTCTGCTGGCACTCTCTCTGAGCTGCTCTCAGACCATCGCAAATGGAAAATTAAATGTGTCTCAAGCTCAGGAGGGTAGGAGTGAATAAACCAACTAAAACCCACTTTTGTGCAGCATGGAAGCAATGCCTGCCTCTGTCTGTCTCGAGGGAGACTTGGAACTGAGATGTGTCTCTGGGTAATGAGATTTCAGTGTTTCTGATGTGACTGTGAGACTGTGAGCTGTGCTGCTGCTGGTGTGGCTGATGTGACAGCAGCTACCTTGGCCTTCTGGGCACTGGGACTCTGCAAGGGGCTGTATTTGCACTGGTGAGGGTGTGGACAAGAACTTGACCTTGTTGGAATCTGTTACAAGCCCATGGAGCGTGCACTATGATTTGCAGAAAAACTTGGAATTTCAGTATGAAAAGTACAAACCAATTTGTTAAGACAGCATTTAAGACCACTTTTAATCATGCTTTGTAATATTTTGCTATTTTTATATCAACCTTGTTTTAACTGTAGAGGTAAAGTCAGTTCTGGATGCCCCATGAAAGAGTGCAAGCTGTGCATGAAAGGACATGCTGGGACCCTCATCAGAAGGGTCCGTGGTGCTTCTCCAGCTCCAAAACTCAAGCCACAAGAATTCTGGTATTTGTACACCTACTGCCCTTTTTATGGAGCATCAAAGCAAGAGGACACAATGTGTTTAAACTACATGCACTGAAATCTTGTTCTAGGTTTCTGCTAGGGTGGCTTCCAGCTCCTGCCCATGCAGCTGTGGGTACCCCTGCTCACAGGATGTGTTTGATGAACAGTCTTAAGGTTAGCATTTGTTGCTTTATTAATACGTATTTTTATATTGATAATGGTTTGAACCAAGCTTTCTTGCTTGGAAGTGAATTTCTTGAGCCTGTCTTACCTGTAATGCAGGAGGCAAGACGAAGAGTAGGATGGGGAGGAAATACTGAGTTTGTTCTCCTTAACTGAGTTAATTACTTGATCTCATACAGTTAATAACTCCAGCTGTCTATAGCACTGTCTCTCTGCAAATCAGTGATTGTTAGGCTACTTTCAAACAGCAAAAATCTTTGGGATGCTTTAGGCCAGTCTTGTAGCTATTTTTAAAAAAATACCTGTGTTTTTTTGAATAAAATTAAAGCTTTAAAGCTCTGGGGACAAAGTCTTGAGATAAGTTGGCAGCAGTGATGCCACCCTATGCCTCTTCTGTAAAGTGGAGCTGAACATCACTAATGCTGCCTTCAACAAGTTTTATAAACCTGTTTTCCTGCTCTCTCTAAAAGCACCAACAAAAAGAAATGTGTGGATTACACTTAGAGGTGAGTGGACTTCTAAGCTGAGGTGGACCATCTTCTAGAGACTAGCGTTGAGTACCCTGCCAGTAATCCAACTCTTCATCTTCCTGAGGGAATCATAGTTTGTATTATTTCTTTCATCTCTAAGCCTTTCTGCTGGAAAAGCTCACACAGTTAAGTCTGCTCTTTCATGGCTATGTGTAAATGACTTCCCATGGAAGAGCATCTGTGATCTCCCATGGTAGGCAGGCTTTTTTCCTCCCTCCCTGGAGATACTGTTGTCATTAATGTGAACCACTGAAGGTGCATTTCTAGATGTTAAAACGCATTTCAAAGTCGTTATGACTGAAATGATCATAGTTTTCCAGAGCAGGAAACAGCTGAAGATGTTGTGAATATTGTAGCTGCAGAGGCTTGCGTGCTGCCAGATGCCAGTGCATTGATGCAACTCATGTGGAGTCCTAGATTATTTATTAAAAATTGATTTATCTGCCTCTCCTTGCTCTGTGACAGCTTCAGATGTGGCCTTGCCAAAATTCACATTTCCTTAGGCCCAGATGCATTTCCCAAAATACAGGCAATTCATTTCTCCCTTGTAGAAACTTTCCAGGGAAATAAGTTCGATATATTTAAATCCCAATAATGGGACTTTAATAATAATTTCAACACAAGAAGGCCTAAGAGCTCCTTCAGAGTTAGTTTTCAGGTTGGTTTGATCTTTCCTAAAGCATGCACCCATAGGCCATGTCTGCGTCTGGTTTTTTCCCTCCTGTTTGTGACTGTGGACCATTCTGAATTCTTTTCCGGCAAGGAGCATCTCCCTGTGCTGGATGCAGCATGTCTGAATGCCAAGATGCTTCTGGTAAGTGCTTGTATGTGATATGTGTGGTGTTTTTTCAAATTAACATGCTCTTGGGTTGTCCACAGGTTGTGGCGTTTACATCCATGGAGATTCTCAGGACTCAAAGGAGCACACGCCAGAGCATCCTGCTCTGGGGCCTGCTTTCGGCAGGGGTTGGACCAGGTAATGCCCCGGCTGCCTTTCCACCTGAGTTACTCCAGGATCCATTATATACTGTCCTTGATGCAGTTTTACCTGAGAGGGGGATAAAAGACACTGATGTCCTTGCTGCATGGTGGTACCTGCTGCTCAGATAACAACCCACCACTGATGGTAACTTAGGAAGGGATGATTTTCCTTTCTTACGAGGCACGTACTCCTCCAGAAACATAAAGGTTGTTCTATCAAAATTGCTACTCCGTAATTTCCTAAGGATATACAGCCTTGGAAAGTAGAAACTGGCTCCTAATTTGACCACTTGCATTTCTTGCTCCTGTGTTGCACATCTTGTGGGCTTTGCAGTAACAGAGTTGTTTTGGGCTGAGTTGTGAAGCTGCTGCCGTGGTGGATGGTTGCTCTACATCATCTGCTCAGCTGGTGGGAACATCATCTCCAAAAGACAGGAAAGAGCTTGGCTTTGATAAGTCATAAAAAGGCCATTTTCTAAGAGGTGAAATTCCAATTAAGAGTAGCTAAGTGCTTCTGTATTAAGGCCAAAGTTAATGTTAGGCTTCTCGTTAATGTTCTGGCAGACTGGTAAGCAATATCACAAAATTTGGGGTGAAACTTTGTGTGTGAGCTTCTGTGGGTGCACGTTTTGATGTGATCTGGTATAGGGGAAACAGGGTAGAAAAGTGGAACTGTCAACACAGATTAGATGTATAATCAGTTAAAGCTCTAATTGTCGTTACGTCCATTTCTCATATGACTTATTGGAGACAAATGGTAAAATCATATCAGTTAAAGGTCTAAAACTTTCCACTTACTGGACACTGTGCTGAAGATTCAGAAAAGCACAATTGGACTAATGGCAGCTTGAAAATGTTTTTCACAAACCTGGGAATTGCCTGAAAAGTAGGGTATGGATTAGAGTTACTCTGTTCCAGTCTAAGATCTCCGGAAATGCCAATTTTTGAAGTTGTTCCAGTGCCCAAGTTTGCTATGAACTGGAACTGCATTACTTAAATTTTTTATTTCCTGAAATGATCAGACTTCTGCGTATTCTGCTGAGACTAAAGCAGCCGGTCCCAGCTAAGCATCCTTCCTTTCAAGGATATGTCAAATTCACAACAGTAAACCAATGGCAAGTGTGAAAAATAATATTGAATGTGTATTAAATATTCTGGCTTGGAAGGAAACCTGTTGGCCACAGGCTCTTGCAAGTGCCTGCTGCAGTGATGTTTTCTTTTTTATACTTGGACTCCTAGTTTATGATCTCATGACAATACCAGGTTTCTTGCATCTCCAGAAGATGAGCTGAACAGATCAGAGATGTCACTGGAAGGTGCCAAAAATGGGGACAAACGTGCAAAGGGCGGGTGGTTTTGGAGGCTTGGTCCATCAGAGGCTGATCTGGTACCACCTGGAGTAAACAGGTACCTGTAGATTTGATCACGTGAAGTTCTGCAGTTAGGTTTCTTTAGTTTTAAGTGTGTGTACGGATGTAAAGTTGCATGAGGTTCACAGAACTGCTGGTCAGTAACTTGCCAGGTCTTGCCTGTCACTTGTTCCTTACGTTCTTCAAGACCCTCTCCTGCTGACCATCTGTGGAGGATCTAGGGGTCTCAGTAGGGCCACCAAGCTCTACATGAATGCAGCTACCACAAGGATTTACAGGTTGACCCAAAGCACTGCACTTGGAAAGTTTATGGTTGGGCAGGTTGTGGAGTCAGCCTTTAGGTTTGTCATCTCTGTTCAGAACAGCTGTGGCAAAATAGATGCACTGGGGGGACAAAAAAGTTGATGGTATTATCTCAAATCCACACACACAGGTAAATGATGAGCTGGAAAGTCAGTCTCATTTGAAAGCTGCTTCGTCAACACAGAAAGACAAG